TTTTACCCAGAATGCACAGCAGCAAACAGCTCCTCCCAGCTGTCAGCACGGTGGTGGAGGGCTGATGGTTTGGGCTCCTTGCRGTCACCGATTGGACCAAAGGGTTCTAGAGAGAGTTTGGRCCAAACTGGGTCCAACAGAACAGAAACAAGGTGCTGCGAGTGGTGGGACCAGAAACCAACGATGGAAAGAAGAGTGGGCCAAAACCCCTCCACAACCACGTGATGGGCCGATAAAACCACAAAGAGTTCTGCTGGATCAGGGTCTGGACTGGTTGGTTTTAAACTCGCAAGAGTCTGTGGCTTTTTGTCCAYTTGAGGTTGGATCAGAACCAGGTTWTATTTATTATGTAGTCGTATATAAAACCCTACAGCTGAAACAGGCGGGACTTTTTGTTTTCTTCATGGCTGTAGTTCATGTGAGATTACTGGTGTATTTTTGATTAAATATAATAAATTATGGCCGAATGAATGGTTGGCTGTAAAAAAATATTTTGAAACTAAAGTACTGCCACTGTAAAATGTACACGATAGTATATTTGAATATGAAATAAAAGAGGACTTGTTTATGAAATGATCTGCCTCTGATTATTTTTTTCCATGTAGCTTTTAGAATTTTCATTTTTTAATGGGATAAAATAAAAAAGGGATTTGCTCTAAAAATATGACTATTTCAGAAAAATCTTACAGCCAGAAAACAGTGGATGTGTTTTTACATAAAGCGAGTCCTCCATGTTGAAGTTCAGACTGGAGCATCTGGAGCGTCGGCCGCTCTCAGTTGATTTTGGAGTCTGCCGGGCAGCAGGAGTGTGAGGTGATGCTGAGCAGAGCAGCACTCACTTTGTTGTTTTAATGGAGGGGGTTGGTCCAGCAGGAAGGGCTTTGTGGAACAATAGGCCCAGTGTGGAGCCCCACACGTTACCCCTCTGCCTGCCAGAAGCCTCCAAGCAAGGCTCTTTAAATAGAAAACTACCTCTTCTTTATTTGGTGGGGTTGGACGGGGCTGGGGGGGCTTTAATGTCCCCCAAATGCTTGCAAACATCAGCATATTGTTTATGTTGTTGGACTGCCCGACAGTGGAATTTTGCTGGTGACATAGTGGCAAAAAAAGAGCTAAAAATTAAACCACATTTGGGGCCAACTTGGCTGGAACGGGGGAACGGGTAAAACGGCGCTGTAATGATTTCCTGCAGCCATCTGGAAGTGTTTTACACCTTTTAGATTGCCTTGGAACACTTCAGCTTGTCTCGTTTTGTTTTTTGTTTTTTTTTTCGAGCCGACAATCCCCCTACCCCTAAACCAAGAATGGAAAAAAAAATTGCCATCRAATTAAAAAAAATAATAAACTGAGAAACTCTGCTTTCCGAAAGTAACAATTTATTTCCCTTGGGTGCAAATCATTAAAATGTCAAGCAACAGCAGCTTCTGGGAGATTTGTCCCAGATGTGTTGATTAGCTGGAATGCCTCTGCTCTGCAGACCGCGGCTCAAAAATAGCAACCAGACATGTCAAAAATATCTCCTGACATGAAAATGAGCAGATGCATTCATTTTTTGTCACTGCGGATCGTTTTCTTTGTCTCCCTGCTGCAATTTACCCACTGATAAACACGAAAAATAAAACAAATGTTCCAATCTAGTGAATTATAAACCAAACTTAACGAAATTATTCTGGTTATTTCAAACAGCTTCCAAATTATTTACAGTAAAATACAGCTGGATTTTTAATAATAACTTGTTTAAATTAATTTACTTTCGTAGAAGAAACAGTGCGCGTCAAATTAAAGTTCATATTAAAGGAGCAGCGTGTGACAACTACTGCCATCTAGTGGTCGAGCTACAGACAGCAGCCATCTTAAATTTCATTCAAACAAAATCTTTCAGTAAAATGCGTCAATATTGGTGAMTTAATCCAACATTTCACAAGAAAACAATGAATTCAGGTCTTCAATGACAATTTCTATCTAAAGACTGTTTTATTCTGTTTCTGGCTAGTCCAATTTTACTAAATATATGTGAATACCCTGATGCATCTCAGTAATCCAGGTAAAAAATCAAAAGGAAAAAAATTGTATAGGTCYTCTGGACGGGTTCTTCTCTAATGAAACGTATCGTCTCTCCTCCAAGAGACTTCTTCAGTCTGAGAGTTTCAGGCAAAATTCAGGATTTTAAGTCCTGCCTCCAGGTGACTGATACTCACATCACATGGCTATCGTTCACCCTAATTACTACCTATTGTTAACAGAGGGTGGAGTGATACTGCCAATGACAGCGCTGTAGGAGGGGGACAGCTGAAAACGGAGGCCTCCACCTCTGTTTAATGACGGACGGTCTTTCTTTACAAAAATGKCTTCTTTTACTCCTCTCTCAAACCAACGTTCCTCTCTATCAAGAATGAGAACATCCTCATCTCTGAAAGAGTGACCGCTGGCCTGCAAATGAGTGAAAACTACAGAGTTCTGGCCATTAGATGTAGCTCGTCTGTGTTGGGACATTCTTTTGAACAGTGGTTGCTTTGTTTCCCCGATGTATAACTGGTCGCAGTCCTCCTGGCACTTATATGTGAATAGTTGTATAGTAATATGAAGCAATATACAGATTTTCTTTAAAATAAATAATGTAAATGGCTTCATTTTTTTTTACTTCGTTAGTGGAACCAAATGAAATCCCGGTCCGGGGACCTTTCTGGGTAGAGTTTGCATGTTCTCTCCGTGCATGCGTGGGTTCTCTCCGGGTACTCCGGCTTCCTCCCACAGACCAAAAACATGACTGTTAGGTTAATTGATAACTCTAAATTGTCCCTTGGTGTGAGTGARAGAGTGAATGGTTGTTTGTCTCGTTTGTCTCTATGTGTGGCCCTGTGATGGACTTGCGACCTGTCCAGGGTGTACCCCGCCCCTCGCACTGTGACTGCTGGATATGGGCACCAGTGACCCACGCAACCCTGAAAAGGAAGAAGCGTGTACAGAAAATGGATGGATGGATAGTGGAACCAGTTTAGTTCAGTAAATTCAACAATTTATTTCTTAGAGTGTGTAAAAGTACTTTTACGTTCCTGATTTTTGTGAACAATTTTGACAGTTTTAAGTACTTTTCTGATCAGCGAAATTTATTTTTTATCTGTCATTTTCTGTTGAGATATTTTACTTTTACTTAGTTATTTTTTCAGGTACTTTATAAACTTCTGTTGCCAGGGCTTTTAGGCTTTATGAAATGATAAACATGATTCCTCCATTTTAAAATGTATATCGCTTCATAGTATCAATAAAAACTCCAACAGTTTGTCGTCTTCATCAGATTCTTAGTACTCTACGTGACAATAAGAACTCGATCCAGAATAAATGATTTATTCCAAGATAATCAAAATAAACGATGAATATGTGACTCATCAAGTCAAACTGAGAATAAAATCAGATTTGGTCAAAATGAGCTCAGAACATTTTCAGATTTCTGCTTTTTCCAGCTACATTTTGACGCCTGGATCATCCTGACACCACGAGCAGACCCAGAGATGTTTGTCTTCAGGATAACCTCTATTTGTTCTGAATCCTTTTTCAGGATGTTCTAACGAGTTATTTTAAAGCGGAAACCTTGAATAATATTTGAACACTGAGATTTTGCAGCTGGGAAATAAATAAAAGCTTTGCTAACTCGCAGGGAAAATTAAAAACAAATTTCTGTTCAAAGTCATGTTTTTTTTGTAAATACGGCTAAAAAAAACCTTCAAAGAAATTTTTTAAGATTATATTTCAGATATTTTATTCAACAAACAGATAAATGTTGTTTTTATTCATGTATAATACGATCATCATTTTTTGAGATTAAAAAGAATAAAAAAATCTAATCAATAACCCATGTATAATACTACCCCCCCCCCCAATTTTATGGATGATTTTTAGGGTTAAATTTCTAGTATTATACATGAATAAATACAGTAGATCAAATATTTATTCATTATATTTTTCACGAGTTTTAACCAATGTGTTAGCTGTCTCTGTTTAATATATCCAAAGTAAAACAGTTTATTTAAAGCTTTTGTTCCATATTTCATGACTTTGTCTGTTTTTAATCTCATTATGAATAAAAACAATGTTTTCCAGTCTCCAAACGTCTGACAGGAGAGCCTGTGTTTGAGTAAAATTAAACTCTCAGTATAAAAACACAAGAAGCAGCTGAACACGTGCTCTGTAATCAGATTCAGACTGTTATCTCAGAAAACACCAGTTAAAGATCAAAAATCTCCACGTAAACGAAGCAAATCTGCTCTGATTTGAACAGTTAAACGCTGAGTCGGCATTTCAGCTCAGATATTTACTCGTTATTAACTTGTGCGTTGAAACTGATTTGTGAGCCGCTGAGTCCTCGTTGATGTCTTCACCTTGTTTTTTTTTTTTATTTCTCTTATTTGACAGGAAACTGAAGCTGGAGAAGGAGCTGGCAGGAATGCTGTGGAGGATTCGTTGGGAGGACCTTCAGTTCGAAAGCCCGAATAAATACCACAAACGAGCCGGCAGCCGGCTGACCCTCTCTCAGGTAAACCTCGTTCAGCGATACAAAATGTAGAAATGTTTCGTCTCATTCAGTCGCTGGAAGTCTTCATTCATGTGGGATTAATCATCAGTGCTGTAAAATTAGGCCCTCCAGGAATCTGCAGTGATAATTGGATCTGTCTGAWTTCAGAGCTCCACTTGTTTATGTTGACATGTAGCTGGTTGTTGTTGTTGTTTTATTAGAAATGAACAAGCTGCAGCCCTGAGAGGGTTTCTCATCCTCTGAGGGTTTTCACATTCCTGAAAGCCCCTCCAGCGGTTTGCTGAAGGTGGCGGGGCTTCCAGCAGCAGACGTGTATTAAAGCCATGATTAAAATAATCTCTGGTCTGGGCCTCGCTCCCTGCAGTCAGCTGGATAATGCCACCTCGAGTTCTTCCAGTATCGGGTTCCGTTCGTCTGGAGGCTTCGGATTCCTCCCACATGTACGAGAAAAAAAATCACGCACCTCTTTTGAGCCCGCTTCTTGCGGCGGCGTATGAAAACTCAGCGTTTTTAAATTTTTTTTGCCATGCGTCGCCAACATTCTAGTTTTTAGAGACCAACAGAAAACGTGTCGTTTCCAGTTGCAGCGAAGTGAAAACGGCTGACCTAAACTTCCTAACAGATGCCTTTTCTTCTCGCTTTCTGCTTTTCCATCTTCTCAGAGAGGCTCCAGCTACGGCTCCCTGATAACTGCCCATGGAAAATATCAACTGTTTGCAAAAACCGGCTATTTTAAGGTAAGGCTTAGTGAGTTCTGACATTTTCAACTCCTGCACACTCCTTTCCCGCCCACACAGACACACGAGCACAGAGAAAGCCGGAGAGCTGGAGAGGCGAGAGGAAGAAAATGTGTGGGCGAATTTAGGTAGCTGCTTTTTAATGCGAGCTGCAGAATGCGTCGTTTATTTTATTTATTTATTTATTTATTTATTTCTCCACTCTTCCTTTCTCTGCTACTAAACTCCCGTCTCATAGTCTAGACGTTGCCGTCAAATTGTTGCTGCTAATTCATCTGTGAGGAAACTTGACAAAAACGGGGTCGCTCCAATTGAAACCATTTAAAATAGCATTTTTTTTTGTATAAACTGCAGATCCGACAGTCCAGAGGTGACTGGATCCAGAGTACAAATGCAGTTATGTAACTGTGAAAACCTGCTGTGAAACGGGCCTTTCATTCTGCAGCGACACACAAACTGTCAAACATCCCAGCTCCAAACTCACAAGTTAAACCTGCAGATAGAATCCAAGTTGCTCATAAATTACAACCAGGCTATGTTTTAACCAGAGGGTCGCAGCTGTGGCTCGAAGAAATTACATGCTTTGTTTGTAGCAAACAACACAAACAGTCTCCCTCTGCAGAAGGAAAACAGGCTCCAAACCTACCTGTAGGTTTAACTCTCCTTCCTGAGCGCTTCTCCTCTTTGTCTCTTCTTCTTTGTGCTTTTTATAGCGGTGACGCTCTTGTTATTTCCTCGTCTCTCTATTGAAACGGTTTTTTCTCGTGATGCACGCAGGGGAATCTGGTGGCCATCAAGCACGTCAACAAGAAGAGGATTGAGCTGACGCGGCAGGTTCTGATGGAACTCAAACATGTGAGTGTCGAGTTTTGGTTTTGTCGTATTTATCAGGCCTGTCACGGTAACAAATTTTGCTGGACGATAAACGGTCTCAGAAATTATCGCGATAAACGATAATATTGTTCGGAGACCATTTTAAAGTAATATAATGAAACCTCCCCCATTCCCACTCTGCTTACGGCCCAATTTATTTATGCGTCTTCCTCTGGCACAAAATAATTTCAGCCGGTAACCCCAATGTCGCTTACAAAATTTACAGAAGTTTCCAAAATTTACATCAAGTTACAGACGAACCGTTTGTGGTGTTTGTGAGAACAACAGCTGCTGAAGCTGTAACATCACTACCCAGCTCCTCTATCCAAGCTAACTTGTTCTTTATGTCTCTTTCTCTGGCATAAAATAATTGCAGCCAGTAAATTTACGGAAGTTTACAAAGTTTACGTAAAGTTACAGACAAGTAGTGGGGTCTGTTACAACAACTGCTGAAGTTGTAACATCACTATCCAAGCTGGCATAATTTATTCATGTCTTCCTCTGGCTTCATTAAATAAATGCGGTCACCCACACGCGGTGCTTTCAAAGTTTACAGAATTTTTTACGTGTTTTTTGCGAGTTTGTGATAACGGCTGCTGTAACATCACTACCCAACTCCTCTAAGCAGGCATAACTAATTTTTTATATGTCTTCCTCTGGTTTTTATAAAATAATTGTGGTCAACCACACTGCTTACTAAGTTTACGAAATTTTACGAAATTTACGTAGTGTAAAAAAAAATCTTTGCAAACCCAAGGTTCGGCCTGGTGCCCTGAGGAGGTCCTGAGGTTTTGCCAGCTAAAAGAAGGTGTTACTAAACCGTAAATTCTCCTCTAGCTAAATACCTGTTTGTCATGCTACAGAGGTTAGCGACCATCATGCACCTGGAAAACACCTGACGCCAGAGTTCACTCCTCCCTACGCTAAGGAGTAGAAAAGAGGGAGACACAACAAAAACAAAGAAACAGGCAAATGAAAYTGATCAACCTCATTTTAAGTTATTGTGCGATTAATGTATTTATTGATTATCACGACAGGCTCAATATTTATTTACGTTTGCTTTTTTTAGCTTTTCCTGCTCATAAGAAGACGTGGTCTGATTATCTGAGTCTTATAAAAAACAGAAGATAAATAAGCAAACCTGATTGGGTTTTGTCTAGATCTGGATGTTTTTTCTGGCTCGGTCCGAGAGCGAACGTGTCTGTCACCGTGTTTTACGTGAGGACTGGATGTCGGTTTCTTGTTAACATCTTATCGGGGGCGCTGCAGGATGTCGCCTGCTTCTCATAGTGAGCTGAACATTCATAAGCTGCTTTRATATCAGCAGCTGCACAGTCTGATATAAAGTCTCCCTGGCTGGGTGATAAGGGAGGAAAAAATATCTTAACCTAATGTGGTTTGGTGATGGAAACTCACTGTAGCACAAGGAAAAAGCCATAAGTTGGAAATTACACTGGCAGACATAAACAAGACTTTTGGTCATTTTCTGTTACTTATAGCCGATCGCTCTCTCGACTTTAATTTTCGGTCTCAGCAGTGAGTTTCGGGTCATTTGGAGCTGCAGATCTGTGGCTGTTCGGCCAGTCGGCGGGCTCAGGGGGAGAGAAGCTGCTGTCTGAGCTGGCAGCTTCTGAGATACCCCGGGGGCCTGATCGCCTGTCAAACCTCAGCTCACAGCGAAGCCAACCAGATGGGGGGACGAGGGGTGTGAGTGGGGGGGGGACAGGCCTGCCAGTGGAAACTTAACCACTTGTCTCCCAGAGTGCAGCAGGGGATGTTATGTAGGCCAAAGGGTAGGCTAACAACATGGAGGAGCTGGTACCGCTCTGTTTCATGTGCTGTCACTCCCTGTGACGAAAAAAAAAGATGSATTCTCCTGGAGCTAAAGAAAACTCACTTCCTGTAAAGATCCAGTGTGAACGCTGAGTGCTTCGCAGAAGAAACTCAAACTGAGTCGTTACAGCTGCAAGCAGCAAAACACTAACTAAAAGCTAAAAGTGTCAAAAATGAGCTAAAAACCTAAATGTAGCACGGGGTTAGCTAAAAGCTAAATATATAAGTGTGTAGTTAAAAGCTAAATGTAGCATAAGATTAGCTAGAAGTATCAAAACATTAGTTAAAACCAAAAGGTAGCATCGGGTTAGATAAAAGCTAAAAGTATCAAAAGTGAGCTAAAAGCTAAATGTAACATGACATTAAACATTAGCTAAAACTGTTAGATAAAAGCTAAACGTATAAGTGTGTAGCTAAAAGCTAAATGTAGCATGAGATTAGCTAAAAGTATCAAAACGTTAGCTAAAACCAAAAGGTAGCATGGGGTTAGATAAGTGTGTAGCTAAAAGCTAAATGTAGCATGAGATTAGCTAAAAGTATCAAAACGTTAGCTAAAACCAAAAGGTAGCATGGGGTTAGATAAGTGTGTAGCTAAAAGCTAAATGTAGCATGAGATTAGCTAAAAGTATCAAAACGTTAGCTAAAACCAAAAGGTAGCATGGGGTTAGATAAGTGTGTAGCTAAAAGCCCCCGAAAACCCAAAATGGTAGATAAAGGTAAACCGTARCAAAAGACTAATTGAAAGAAAATGTAGCAAAATGCTAGTTAAAACCAGTAAAAATTAAAATTAGCAAAGATTCAGCTAAAAGTTCAAAGTAACAAAATGCTAACTAAAACGGCAACATGGAAACTAAAACCTAGTAGTTGCAAAATGTATATAAAAAACTAACTAAAAGTAGCAATGTGCTAGAAAAACATAGTAAACATTTAGCTAAAATGGTGTAAGGTTTGCTAAAAGTATCATAATAGCAACTACAAGCGAAAAGTATCAAAAAGGACAACATAAAGTTAAAAGTGACAAAATGCTAGCTAAAACAGCAGACCCACATAGTATCTAAAAGCATAGTATCTAAAATCTAAATTCTAGCTAAACTAGCACAATGGCAGCTGAAACATGAAAGTTGCAAAAGATTGACTAAAAGCAAAAAATACCAAAAGGCTAGCTAAAATCTAAAAGTAGCAAGACTAAAAGCTAAATAGTAACACAGCTAAAAGCTAAAAAAAAAAGTAAAACAACATCTAAAAGCTAAAAAAATACCAAAAGGCTAGCTAAAATCTAAAAGTAGCAAGACTAAAAGCTAAATAGTAACACAGCTAAAAGCTAAAAAAAAAAGTAAAACAACATCTAAAAGCTAAAAAAATACCAAAAGGCTAGCTAAAATCTAAAAATGTCAGAAAGCAAGGTAAAAACAGCTAAAAAGACAACTAAAAATTAAGTTACAAAATGTTAGCTATAACAGCAATGAGTTCACTAAACCCCAAGGCTAGCTAAACTTGTAAAAGCGTAGCTGAAACCTGAAATTTGCAGAATTCTTGTTAAAAGCTAAAAGTAGTTAAATAACTAGAAGCTAAAATTAGCTAAAGGTCAGCTAAAATAACTAAAAGTAGAAAATGCTTGCTGAAAGCAGCAAAATGTTAGCTCAATCAAGAAATATCTAGAAGCTAAAAGACCAGCAGYTAACCAAGGATAAGTAAACATAGCAGCACAGTAGCTAAAAGTTAGTAGCTTCTGAAAATAAAAACAGAGGCAGTAGCTGAAGCAGATCTCAACATTCACTGAGAGTTTTTGTAGTTTTTATTTATATTCTTGCAGCGTTTGTACCAGCTGAAATGAAAGTAAGAGGATTTTCCAGCATGTTTCTGCTAAAGAAAATTTCACACTTTCTCATGAAACAAATCCACCAGAAAATATCTCTTAACCTCAAACATCTGCACTGCCAGTCTTTTTTTTGTTCCAAACGGTTTGTGTTTCTGCACTTTAAAACTGGGTCTTTATTCCTGATTAGTTCTCCTGCTGAGAGGTTTTGCTCCTCCTGTTCGCTCCGTCCTGCTTTACAGAAAATAAATAAACGAAAATTAAAAATCCTCCTCAGCACAGTGGCTCATTCATGTCCTCGGAGGGTAATTCAGGCATTACGCGCTCGTGTGTCAACTGTGAGCAGGAACGCCAGTCAACACGTGGAAAAAGGAGGGCGCGAGCGGAGCCGACTGCAAACAGGCTGGATGTGAAACGCTGGTGCATAAACGAACCGTCAGTCCTCTTTGTCCTCTGTTTCCATGGAGTTTGGAAAGACTCACAGTTGCCGTGTTGTTTGTTTGTGTGGTTATTTTCAGATGAGAGACGTTCAGTTCAACCACCTCACCAGGTTCATCGGGGCCTGCATCGACCCGCCCAACATCTGCATCGTAACGGAGTACTGCCCCCGGGGCAGCCTGCAGGTAACGTCTGCGGCTCAGACAATGTCATCGCCAGACCTCTGTCACTGTAACAGATTTATTTAAATGTTTTCACACTTGTTCACCTTTGACCTGAGCTGAACACCTCTATCAACGGGGCTTTTCATCAGCCCGTCTACATCTAAACAAATATTTTTAAATATCTGGATTCTTGGCAAAGGCTGAGATTTTGAAAAATTCAGAATTTTACTAAACAAGTTGGAAACTGTTGGTAAGATTTGACCTCGGACACTGTCTGTGTGCCGAAAAGTTAATTTTTGAGAGGAAACTGGAACCATGTTAGGTAAAAATTTAAGCATGCTCAGAATGTTCTGCCTTTATTTTCTTATTTTACTTAAATATCAAAACGAGGATTAAGTCAAAGTGGAATAATGGATGTTGGTTAAAACTGTTGTCTGTGCTTAAGGGCCGAACAACAGTTCAGATTACCCACCCTTCTTGGAGTCCTTAGAGGGGGTACTGGAGGGTGCCCCTCCTGGGGACTCCCTTGTTCTGCTGGGGGACTTCAACGCTCACGTGGGCAATGGCAGTGAGACCTGGAGGGGCGTGGTTGGGAGGAACGCCCCCCCCCCGATCTGAACTTGAATGGTGTTCTGTTGTTGGACTTCTGTGCTTGTCACGGATTGTCCATCACAAACACCATGTTCAGGCATAAGGGTGTCCATATGTGCACTTGGCACCAGGACACCCTAGGCTGCAGTTCGATGATCGATTTTGTYGTCAATTCATCGGATCTGCAGCCGTATGTCTTGGACACTCGGGTGAAGAGAGGTGCGGAGCTGTCCACAGACCACTACCTGGTGGTGAGTTGGCTCCGGTGGTGGGGGAGGAAGCCGGTCAGACCTGGCAGGCCCAAACGTGTAGTGAKGGTCTGCTGGGAACGTCTGGCGGAGTCCCCTCTGAGACGGAGCTTCAACTCCCATCTCCGGCAGAAATTCGAACACGTTCTGGGGGAGGYGGGGGACATTGAGTCTGAATGGACCATGTTCCGTACCTCCATTGGTGAGGCGGCTTATCGGAGCTGCGGCCGCAAGGTTGTTGGTGCCTGTTGCGGCGGCAACCCTCGAACCCGTTGGTGGAYACCTTCAGTGAGGGATGCTGTCAAGCTGAAGAAGGAGTCCTATCGGGCCTTTTTGGCCTAGGGGACTCCAGAAGCAGCTGATGGGTACCGGCGGGCGAAGCGGCATGCAGCTCGGGTGATCACTGAGGCAAAAACCCGGGCATGGGAGGAGTTTGGAGAGGCCATGGAGAAAGACTTCCACATGGCTTCGAGGCGATTCTGGTCCACCATCCGGCGTTTCAGGAGAGGGAAGCAGTGCAGCACCAACACTGTTTATAGTGGGGATGGTGTGCTGCTGGCCGGTGGGCGGAATACTTCGAAGACCTCCTCAATCCCACCAACATGCCTTCTGTTGAGGAAGCTGAGCCTGGGGACTTTGGGTTGGGCTCTCCGATCTCTGGGGACAAGGTCGCTGAGGTGATCAAAAAGCTCCTCAGTGGCAGGGCCCCGGGGGTGGATGAGATCCGCCSGGAGTTCCTTAAGGCTCTGGATGTTGTAGGGTTGTGTTGGCTYACGCGACTCTGCAATATCGCATGGATATCGGGGGCAGTCCCCCTGGATTGGCAGACTGGGGTGGTGGTCCCCCTGTTTAAAAAGGGGGACCGGAGGGTGTGCTCCAATTATAGGGGGGTCACACACTTAAGCCTCCCTGGTAAGGHCTATTCAGGGGTCCTGGAGAGGAGGGTCCGTCAGATAGTCGAACCTCGGATTCAGGAAGAGCAGTGTGGTTTTCGTCCTGGTCGTGGAACACTGGACCAGCTCTTCACCCTCAGCAGGGTCCTGGAGGGTACATGGGAGTTCGCCCAACCAGTCTACATGTGTTTTGTGGACTTGGAGAAGCCGTTCGACCGTGTCCCAAGGGGGGCCTTGTGGGGGGTTCTCCGGGAGTATGGGGTACCGGGCCATTTGATACGGGCTGTCAGGAGTCTGGTCCGCATTGCCGGCAGTAAGTTGGGCTCGTTTCCGGTAAGAGTTGGACTCCGTCAAGGCTGCCCTTTGTCACCGATTC